GAACATTGAGAGGCACATGTGACACAGGTATCCGGAGAGTTATTCTCAACCACCTGTGCCCACCCCAACTCACCCTCAATATTCGGTAAAAGCACCATCATCGCGGGCCAGCACCCAGATTACTCGTCGTGGAGGCACGTGCAATCGGGCCTTCAGGAGTGGGCCTAACTCCCGGCTCACGGATCCACGCCAACACCACTTCTTTCGTCCGAAGTGATGGATCCCTGAGAACATCGAATTAAAATATTCCGCGTTCTCAAAGTAATCCCATCATTCTGTTTGGGACGCCGAAGCGTCCCATTCTCTCGCTGTCTCGGATCTAGTCCTCACAACGGACCCCCATAATCCATACGGATAAATGTCACTAACCACTGTGCCGAGTAACCGCAAAAGTAATCTGCTCGACTCCAGTGCCTGTCACTGACTGTCTCGAAATCTACTAGGGCCTTCTCCCCCTAGTCTGAACATCTCAGCGGTGGTGGGTCATCCGTTACCCCACCAACACTAATCAGGTCGACGGCAATTGAGGGGGCACTAGTCCTCTCACCTAGCCGTTGTTCCCTGGTCTAAATCGATAGCGCTTCTAGAATCGCCCAATTGGAACGCCAGTACGTTGGCCCATTTTCCCCAAACACAGCTGGGCGAGTTTCTAGATATGGCGACAGCGTATCGACAGCCTCTCTATGTTGTTCAGAAGCATGGTTTCACCCAAACCACGCCTCTTGGCATTATTTGATTGGTCTATTGACCTCACGCGCGCTTCAGTTAAACCGCCGTTCGATGTCACTCTCATCTCTCGCTCAGCTTCTTCAGCTGGCGTTAGATGTCGCTCTCTACTCTTTCCCTCACTCTAACCATTCTTGACCCATGGGTTTTCGTGTGGGTAAAACAGTTTTTTAGTAACGAGAAAATCTCGTTACAAAGAAAACCCGGAGGACCTCTTGTGCTACCGTGGTATCGCTTTACTAAACAATATCCTCAAAATTTACACCGGCCTTCTTCACTCTCGCCTAGAATCCTGGCTGAAATCCTGTCATCTTCTCCCTGAGGAACAAGCCGGCTTCCGCCGTAGTAAGGGGTGCCTTGATCAATCATTCTCCCTTTACCTAGTGGTCCAATCGAAGCTGAGACTCGAAGGTAATTCGGTATGCTGCATATTCATCGACTTCAGAAGAGCCTTTGACTGCGTCCCCCACCATCTTCTATGGCAGAAGCTCAGTAAAATTGAACTAACTGGTAAATTCTTGAGAGCTCTGAGTAACATTTATGCGAATGCCTCCGTCAAAGTCCGTCTGGGTCTCGACTATATCAGGGATTTCGAGGTCACCGAGGGAGTTCTTCAAGGAGATAAACTAAGTCCCCTCCTCTTCACTGCCTACATCTCGGACATGTTAGAATTCCTGGTGAGTAAGGGAGTCCAGGGCCTCGACATAGGTGGCCGAAGCTTAAGAGCCTTGCTGTACGCCGATGACACGGTCATCTTCGCACGATCGCGAGCTGACACTCAATACATCCTGAACTGTCTGCCGGAGTACTTCGACGCGAACGGTCTAACAGTACACACTGAAAAGACTAAGGTACTGGTCTGCAGACAGTCTGGCATATTGAGAGCCTCTGAGAAAGACGCCTTTCTCTACAAGGGCCGACCAGTCCAAGCAGTGAAGCAATACAATTATCTAGGCACAGTCATGGACAGCGCTATGAACGGCAAAGCTGCTGCTGAAGCGTCCATCCAGAAAGCTAAGGTGACAATTGGAGTGGCGACGAACATTCTGAAGAGAACCAAAGCCGGTGACTGGCTTTCCAGGATCAAACTTTTTGACAGTCTAGTCTCCACGCTGCTGCACGAAAACCAATGCTGGGATCTAAACTTCCTGGACGAGATCGAGAGAGTTTAAACAGACTATTTTAAACGAATTTTCCTGCTTCCTAGGAATACCCCGGGCTACCAAATCAGGTTGGAGCTAGGTGCTCAACATCTAGCAGTTCGCGCCCTCAGCTGACCCCGGGATTGGATCTAGAGAACCCTCAAAATGAACCAGAATTGTTGGTCTCGCATCTGTTTACTTGAATCAATCCGCCTATCCCGGAGTCCTGCATGTCTAACCAGATTCAACTGGGTGGCCAGGCTGAACGAGATCTTCTCCTCTGTTGGATTTTCATCAATGTTTTACAACCTGGACCCCCACTTCTGGTCCCTGCATAAGCAGGCCTTCATCGAAGCACTCAGCCCTCACAAATCCTTTGCACAAAATTAAATTCAGCAGTGCCTCCGTTGTCTTGTTTTTGTTTCAATTCTATATCTCACTGCTCTCTACGCTTTGTTATCTGAGGTTGTCATCGAGTTTACCGATCAGCTATGCCTACCTCTTCAGCTTCCTTCACTCCCGGATAATAGGGCGTACAACGACTTCTATTATAGCCAGAAAAACTGCCTGGAGCCCTTCTCAAACTCCATTTTTAGGCATTTTTCTATTTACTCTTATTTTTATTCCGTCTTGATTTTGAGTTGCATTGTGTTTCATTGAGTTTTATTTTGCTTTTATTTTATTTAATATTTTATAAAGAGCTATCGAATATTGTATGTCCAGCGCATATTCCCCCCTTGCTAAATGAGAGCAATTTTTTTGTATTCCCTCTCAAAAAGCAATAAATATATACATATGTACATACAACTAAAACAGAACAAAAACTATTTTTTTTGGAACTGTATTTGAAATCCAGTTAAACTTTAGGAACATTAAATTAAACATTGAATCAATAAGTGAAAAAGTTAACAGTTGAATTGTAGTGAAGAGAAGGAACTATCCAAAGAACAGATTCACTATATTTAAGAAGATTCGATGACGTCATTAAAATCATAACTGAAATTATGGTCTGGTTAAAATAATTCATTTATTTAACATAACTGAATTAATTTATTTAACATAACGGCATTTGAGTAGCCATTTTGGGACTTTGGCATTGTATGGGTTTTGGATCTTTAGAGGAGTTCATTGGAATGTGTTAAAACCTGGCTAAGCAGCCGATAGTTTGGTGATTGTTTTTTTAAATCGATTTTGCATCACTTCGACCCGGTTGCGGTATGCTGCGATGATGATCAAGACTTTAAATGGTTAGATCTCACCATTCTACCCGGTCGGGTTTTGAACGTGGATCCTTTCGCATGTGAGGCAATGAACGTACCCACTGCGCCAAGCCACCGGGCTCACTGGTGATTGTGAAGATTAATTATTTTTGAAATTTTGTCATGGCAAAATCAAGTCTTAAATATTCGGCGTTTCAAACGCTCATCTTACGAATTATTTTGTTCGCTTTATCTGATTTTTGTTTCGAGACCAGATTTTGTTGGAGCAGTAAACAAATCTCTTTTTGAATAATTTTGATATTAATTTTGCAACAACTCTCGTTCGTTCGGAAGGAATAATTTTCGAATCATCCTTGTTATGTGATTAAAGTAGTTTCGTGGAGGGTTCGTAACCTTGAGCAATCAAAGGATTTCATTTTGATTACGAATGGCTGGGTTTTATTTCGCAATTTGATTTTGTCATCCATTTCGTTGAGTCGTGAGTCGTGAGCAGAGACATGTTGGTATTAAAATTTTCTGTCTACGTCCGATACGTTTAATGTCCCATGCGTCAATTTGTTTTGGTTTCGTTTCATCTGTGACGTTTCGCTTTTAACATTCTCATAATTTAGTTCGCCTTTTGTCTTTTAAGCCTTATGGACTCATATTTTAACTTCGATATTTCTAATTTTGGTCTTAAATACTAAGACTTTTGAATTCATTTTTCAACTTTTGTGTTGACTTGAACTTATGAATTCAACTCCCGTAAATTGAGCTTTACCATTCAGTCTGTAACTTTTTTTTGATTGTTAGAATCTATTATTATTCATTACAAAGAGCGACTTATTTATTTCGTATATTTTATTTTATTCTTCTTATTTTTTTCGTAACTGAATTATTTAATTGGAGTTTTTAAGCAATTTATTTTATTTTTGTACCGAGTCTGAACAATTTGACAATTAAAGATTTATTTTCCCCGTGAACAACTCTTTATTATCTGAGAAAATCTCAGTTGCATCTCTAGTCACAGATTTACCGATGAACCACCCCCTCCCCATGGGTCTGAGCTTGCTGATGAGGTAAAGTAAATCAGGAGGCTAGTTAAAAATCTGATACTAGTGGTCGTTCTGGTGAATCAAACTACTTTGCGCTCAACTTTGTTAATAGGTAGGGCCAGAGGACCGCACAGCGAATAGAGGGTTCGGTGAACTTCAGAAATTTCATCACATTATAAATAAAGATGATAGATTTTCCATAATTTGAATGGAACCAATTACGTCTTCATAAACAAACGTGGTGTTACGGCGAGTGTGATGAAAAAAAGGTGCTGGTACACACATACAGACATTCTGTGGAAACACAATTCCTTCACGTTTTATGCAATTTTATGCATTCTCATCAGGCCAAATGAATGTGTGCGACAGTTAACAATGTTTTCCATTAGATAACAAAAGAAAAGTAGGGAAGATAATGCATAGAGTAATGCTTGCATTTAATATGTCATACTGCTTTATCAAAATGATTTACTGTTAAGACCTTAGTTAGTTTGAATAAATAAAACACCGTATTCCTACCAATTACTCCTCCGGATTCTAGTATCTACTCACTGCAGGGAGATTTATCCAAACAGCGGAACCCAGCGATTTATCCCTGACATTATGAAATCGTTTCATCTTGCTTCCCTAGTAGTAAGAATCTTGTTCCACTGATTTTTGGGCTTCACAGTTCGAAGAACAAAAAGAATTCATAGCGCAAGCATTTCTTGAATATAAGCATTCCATCCATCAAAATGCTAAATGGTACAAAATAATTAAAATATTCATTCTTTATGTCTAAATGCATTTGCACAATTTTTTCGAATTGTTATAAAAAGACGCACTTCTATTGATCCTATCTGTTGAATGAATTCTAGTACGTTACTTGAATATTTCAGGTGAGATTAGTACAAAAGAAAGATACAGGTCATGTATACGCTATGAAAATATTACGAAAGGCGGATATGCTTGAAAAGGAACAAGTGGCTCATGTAAGAGCAGAGAGAGACGTACTAGTTGAGGCCGATCACCAGTGGGTTGTGAAAATGTACTACAGTTTCCAAGATCCGATTAATCTCTATCTCATCATGGAATTTTTGCCTGGAGGTAAAATAATATTAAAATAAAGGATTCAAATAAAATTTTAAATTTCTTCAGTTTTGCTAAATGTTCTATAGTATTCGTATCACTTACAAAGATAGAAATTCAAAATTTATTCTGAAATTAAGTATGTGTATATGACTAGATTTGAGATGTTGTGACATGGCTATAATTCATAAATCTATTGATACCATTACAGGGGATATGATGACACTCCTAATGAAGAAGGATACGCTTTCGGAAGAGTGCACTCAATTTTATATATCAGAGACGGCATTGGCCATAGACTCAATACACAAGCTGGGTTTTATTCACAGGTAATGATACGTTTCTATCAAGAAAAATTATCAATAAGTTTACAGAAAATAAATGATGAATGGAACTGAAAGAATTAATGGATTTGGAGGAATGACAACCAAATTAATTGAATTGTCAAATAAAAAGACGTTTCGCCATAGTTTCTTGTGTTTCAAATCCTTAAAGTTATGCTTTTCTACACATACGCGTAAAACAAACTGTTGTTTGCGCTACGTGGCGATTTCACTGTTCGGGGTCGTACTGAGAGTAAAGTGGTTCGTTTTGTCCTCGGAGTGCGTGGCGAAGCTTTACGCACGTAAATTCATATTACACGTTGTAAGGAATTCTGGGAAATTCTTTGCGCTATCAAGAGTCACCCGAGAACTTCAAGTAGTCGTAAGTTAGATAAAAATGCAGAGCCTTATTTCTTCTATTGCATCAATATGAGATAATTAACAAGGGATTATTTTAGCGTCTGTTGTTATATACCGACGGAAGTCTGTATAACTTGAGTTTTGGGAAAATAAAATTCTCCACGGCTTACTTTCCTGCGTAGACTTACCTTCCCATTTTAATGGATCCTACTTTGAAGAATTTTCATCTCCCTATTATAGTTGATCGATTATTTAATTAACTCTTCACTTAATGAGTCAAATGAAAAATTAACGGATTGAAACATAGCAAACATCATTCATTCAATGGATTGCTAAATTTTACATTATTTTGTATTGCGGTAGATTAGCTATTTTCTCTGGAACAGAATATTTAAGTGACAGGGAAAAGTCATTGTCCGAAAATACTTATTATAGAGTAATCAAATTGTTATTACCAATTATGTCTGCTGCTCGGTATTACTCAATTAATTACTAGCTAGTGTTTTACGGGGAGAGAGATAGAGAGTCAAGATTAGATGATTTCAACCGGATTTTCTCTTTTAGCTGTTTTCTTTGATGTATTGATAATTTCTAACAAGTTAGTGCTCACCCTTACAATTTTGTTTTAAATACTTACTGAAGCTCAGGAGTTAATCCAATATACGTTTGATCACTGTAGACAATTGAAGTCACTGCATTCTTAATTCACCAGTTCAAATGTTATTAAGGTGAGAAAGTCCTCCCATTTAAAATGCTATTATTATTATTGGTTTTTAAAATTCACTGTTCAGATTGTTTCAAAGTTCTCTTGGAAAGGGTTCACTAGTATACTTATTCTAAAACGGAAAAATCACTTTGAGTCTTATCTCATCACATGAAACACGAACCACGAAGATGTGCGTGATTGTTCGTAATTTATTGTATCGATCTCGATAGATCGCAAATCTTTCGCACAGTTTACCGGTCCAAAGCCTCGTCTTACAGAGTTGAGTTTACTCGCGATGGGATGGATTACGGCGTTGGCAGATTTTTTTGAAAATATCGAAAGCGAATACAAAAGTCAAGCGGGGAAATGCTCGCTATGGCTCCACAGGCGTGATTGTCTTTAAAAATTGTACGTTTCAGTGGCGTTGAAGTGTCCAGAAAATGCTAAGACAGTATCCTCTGGGCACACGTGCCTATACGTGTGAGTTCTATGTGTTGGGGTCGGTAGAAGAATTTGCAGGTTTGCAAGTAACATCCGGTGGGAATGAAACGAACGAGGTTTGAAGCGAGCCAGAATACGAATAAAATTTATGAATTAAATTTTATATGTAACACTGTAAATCAGCGTTAATTAGATCGCGTGCCTTGATTTCCATTAATTTCATGTCGTTATAATTTTTAGTTATTGCGGGTCCGCTATAATCTTTTTGTTAATTTTTCATTCGTTGTACCACTCGTGCGTTAGGAATGTCATAAATTTAACTGTACGGGACCGATACGATTCTCGCCACATAGGCGGAAAAATTAACGACCTATGCTATTATTGTTCGAGGATTTTACTTGTGGCGAATTTCAGATTTATAAATTGACCGAAAAATATTAAATCAAATAAAACCACCTATAGACAATTGCGGACGCCCATGTGACCTTCTAGGCGTCAGTTCATTTATTTGTAGAGGATAAAAACGAACCTAACCTCCCAATTTACTGCAAATTCTGACCAATTGTTAACCATTATACCCGTACTCTTAGTTAAAAGGAGAAGGGAGGACGAAACTCCCTCTTCGAATTCCTGAAATCTTTTCACGACAATTCCACAAATCCCAAAAATTCTCCACAGAATGAAACACAACGCCTCGTTTTTGTATTAAAAAAAAACATATATTATTCGTAATCAAAATTGATACAAAGAAAAACAATAATTTTAATTGGATATAAAAAGAAAGAAAATAAATTTTGAGGATCTGGGGAACTAATGCGTCCCCTTTAATGAAAATTTTTGAGAACACCGAGCAAAAAATTTAGTTAAGATGAACCCGAAATAATTACCAAAATCAATATTTAATGAATACTAATGGGGAGAAATTCCCCACGAATGATTCAGGGTCCCGAAGGACCGGAAATGCGACAAGTAACCTGAGTATTTAGCTCACTCAGCCCCTCATTGTGGCTCGGGGTCGTCCTGGGTCGTCCAGAAAGCGTCTTGTAGTCAGGAAAGTCGACTTGTAGTTCAGGGCCTCAATGCCACCCAAAACTATTTTTTTCTGGAGTATCTGCTCCACAAACTCTAAATTTCTGTTGTTCTCCTATTAAGGGATTAGTCTGGCATAATGGGTTAAAAATTTCGATATTTTTTTCATGTTTTCGCCTAGCTATATTCTTTAAGAGTATTTCGGTCGAAATTTCACATCGATATCTCAAGAAGTATCGATGCTATGGGTATTTCAATACAACGCCTATGAATGGAACGGTCGCTGGGCCGTCCCAGCCCCTGCTGCGCGGTTCTGAGACGTTCCCAAGACACAGGTACTTCGTCCTTTAAGGTCACTCACCTGCCGAATTTTACCGTCATTTCCTCATTACTTCCATTCCTTTATTATCCTTGAAATTGCACTTTTCAATTATGGTTTTCCTAGGTGTAATTGACGAGAATTTAAATAACAGAATTTTGAGCGGCCGTCGTGTCTGGATTTTAGTGAAGGTTTTTTATTAGTTGATTTTTATTGGTCTTAAATACGACATGATGCTCCGAAATGAATTGCACTTGTAGGTAAAATTGACGGCAATTTTGATGTCAGAGTTTTTGGAGTCTCAGTCGTGTCTAATACTTAGTGGAGAGCAAAAAAACTTTTTTAAATGAAATCTGGTATTCGCAAGGGGAGTCAAGTTAGTAATTGGCGGGCATGTAGATCCAAAAAGCGAACGTATCATCCCCCTAAAACTGTTAACACTAGTAGTGAATCAGCTGATAGTAGTACATCAGGTGAAAAGTTCAAAGATAGAGATTATGACTCCATCATATTGATCCTGTGCATAACTATAGAATTACCGGTTTTTCCTCTGTTTTCACATTACTGAGCGGAATTCTTGTCTGTGGAACTACTCGCGGTATTCCGAAAATTGGTGCCGACGATGAACAAATTGCGTCAGGTCCATTAGTGAAGAAACAATTTCAAATTAATATTAGAATTATTTTTGTGATGCGTTTGTTGGGATTAAGCTTAGAATTTAGAATTTAGAGTAATGCGGCCGGTCAATTTTTTGCCCAGAATCACCTAAATCATACGATTTTTTGTAACTTCCGCCTTATGCTGGTCGGTCCACCAGCCCCAGCCCTGTGTCTTTCACTAGGCTAATGAGGCTGGTCACTGCCACTTCATTTAGGTCAGCTGGTTCCATGAAAGCCTGGCCCCAGCTCCTATATCTATATATAGCCAGTAGGGGGCATTCGCACAGAATACGTACGACGTCCTCTCTACCGTCCCCACATAGCCTACAGCCTGCCTGTTCAGCTAGCTTCATGTTGTACAGGTGAGCCCTGAGGGTAGTGTGGCCTGTGAGAACTCCTCCCGCAACCCTCAGATTTTTCCTGTTCAGCGCCAGAAGTTCTCTAGTCCTTCTATTTGACTGCTCCCCCATAAATAGTTTAGCCTGTCTACAGGTTGTGTTAGTTCGGCAGCGTTGTTCGAATTCCCGCTGTGGGTGACCTTTTATGATCCTTTTTCCGACTGCGAAAGGCACACCAATCAGACCCTCCGGAGGAACGCCTTCCGTTCCTCTTCTGGCCTGCCAGTCCGCCTCTTCGTTACCCTGTATCCCATGGTGGCCCGGAACCCAGATTAGGGTGACTTTATTCCTCTCCCCCAAAGTGGCAAGTGCTTGCATACACTCCCACACCACTTTAGAATTAGTAGTGGCTTTCTACAGTGCTTTTATGGCCGCCTGGCTGTCGCTGCAGATGAAGATTTTCATCCCTTCTGTCTCTTTTCCTACCAGGTGCTCGGCACACTTGACTATGCCTAACACCTCGGCTTGAAAGACTGTTGCATGCTGGCCCAGGCGGAAGCTTTCCTCGAAGCCATCCTTCAATCGATAGATCCTCGCCCCAAAGCGTTCATTGTAGCAAGATCCATCGGTAAACCAGTAATTTTCCTTGGGCCCTGGTTTAAGTTTTGAATCTAGCCACACCTGTCTGGATGGTATTCTAGTTTTGAAGGCTTTGTTTATTTGATATTTTCTTTGAATCCTGTCGGACTTGTCCGTGAAGGGATTTGCATTAATCAAGCCAAGTTGGATATGACCTTGGCCTGTCGATTTCCATTCCTGCTGACACCGTAGTCTGTAGGCTGTTGTGCCTGCACAGCTAATCACTCTGAGGTCCAAAGGCAGGATACTGAGTGCTATTTCTAGCGCCTCAGTAGGTGTGGTCTTCATGGCCCCCGTCGCGACCCTCAGGAAAGTTCCCTGTAGGCCCTGCAACAGGTTCCTTGTTTCCATCCTTCCTGCCCTTGGCCACCAGACTACCGCAGCATACATTAGCCTTGGTAACAGTACCACCTGATAGAGCCACAGTGTCATTCTGGGGTTTAGCCCCCAGTTTTTCTCAATGGCCCTTCTGCATGCCCACATCGAGGCAAACACTTTGCTTCTCTGTATATAGA